AGGTTACAGGGAAAACCATAAATCAATAACAGAGGGTATACCTTGGTTTGGCCCAAAAAGGTGGAAGCTCTTGAAGCAAGGGGCTTGCAGGTCATAGGCAGCTTCAGGATTATTTGATTGCAATTGGTTAAGGAAGCCAGGCTTTCTCTAAAAACTTGGGGTCAGCAGAGAAAGCAATGTTAAGGTCTGGCTTATGGGCATGACTCTCTCCAGGCCCGTGAGAAAGAAATTTAGACAAAGAGCAGCCATCAGAGCGCAGCCCTCAGCTCCCCTGTCATCTGAAGGTCTCGTGTGATGATGGTCAGATATTTCCATCTGAGGTGGGTCTGCCGAAAAACAATTTAGGGACATATGCTAAGATGTGATCTTTAGTTTCAATAGAGGACCAAACACCTTGTGGCTCTGACTTACTTGAGTGGTTATTACTGAAGCTATGATTTCCTTCTTGCTTATCAGGTGGCTCATCTACTTCTCTAAGGCCAGCTAGGTGCCTGGAATTTCCCTTGAAGGAAATAAAGATTTTCTTTTGTTTCCACACTTGGAGGAGGCCCAGCAGGCTCTAATAGGGGTCTCTGCTCCATCTCAGCCTGTTGGGGCTCAGTGCAGAAGCTCAGTCCAAACCAATGGCTCCTGTAAACGTATTTTACAGAAGTGACAGGGCAGTGTCCATAGCAAGGAGAATTTCGTTGAGCAACCTGCTGGAGACATAGGAGTGAAATAAAAGATGGGAAATGTCAGGTTTGAAAACACTTGAAAAGACCATGAGTACTGACAAAGTATTTACAGAGGCTAACTTCTGAAGTGTGTTCCCAGAAAGTGGGATCTTGAAAAGCAGGTTGTGGAAGGGGAAAATGGCTTTTTCCCAATGGGAAATCTGTGTGGTGGAAAAGGGGAAGAGGAGTCCTGATGGGGTTGCCAGCTGCTTGAGGAAGCCAGAGGCGGCTGCTAGTAAAGTGGCTTCATTGTCTGGGGTGACACCCAAGGTTCATTGTCTTACAGCCAGAGATAAAAGGCGCGGACATAAAAATGGTGAGGTTAAGAGTGGAAATTTAATAGGTGAAAGAGAATAGCTCTCTACTACAGAGAGGGGTCCTGGAAAAATAGGTTGCTGATGCACAGTGAAATGCAAAGAGTTTTATAGATGAGCTAGTGGGTAGCAGTGTCTGATCTACATCAGGTGCAAAAAAAGTTAGGACCAGATGTGCCATCTGCATAGTGCACAAGCCTCTGGACACCTCCACACCCATCTTTTATTACACAGGTGGATAGCTGCTCCATGTTGCTTATTTCTTTCTTACTGTGCATGTGTTAACAACAACAACAACAAAAAAAAACATTAGGGAAGGTGAATCCCCCATAGTGGACATGTCTGGCACCTTTTCATCAGTGTGGCTGTGGCCTCCCCCCAGGTAAGTTTCCAGCTTCCTTATCTATGTTTGCAGCTCAGTCTTTCAGGCTGCTCTTTGTTAGAAAGAAATGCTTTCTTGGGCTGCTTTTTGTTAGAAGTTCTGCCAAGGACTGGTTTGCCCTATCTGCCTAAATAATTTCTTTCTATCTCCTGTATCACTGGAAGAGGGGATCCTACCTGACTGGAAAGAGGGTGCCTATTTGGTTCTCCCTTTTGGTCCTAAGTTGGAAGCAAGGGCTAAAAGGTGGGAAGCCATCAGTGCAGTCCTGACCATTAGGGCTGCTGTATGCAGAGGTGTAGTTTGGCTTTTCCAGCTGGTTACTTCACAGACTGTGGGTCAGAGCATCACCAGGTTCTTGGGTGGATTTTTTTAAATCCCACGGACTGAAACCCTCTTTATTATCTCCAGTCACTTGAACATCTTTCTTTTACAGAGACAGTTTATTCAGTGTTGTTACTTTAAAAAAAAAGCTGCTACTACTACTACTACAATTACTATTTATAATAATGGTAATAATGACAATAATGATGAATCACAGCAAGGACCAAATAATTATAATTACTGATTTAATATTTATACTAAATATTTATTAAAATATATAATCTATATATTACATATATTTATACTATGACATTTATAGCATCTACATAATTATATATTATTTGTGTATTTATGACAATTTATATTAATAAGTAACATAATAAAAAGAAGAATATTATTACTACTACTACTATAAACCTCAGGACTCCCCCCAAACCCCAACATAACCGAATATCCCCTTTAACCGTCTGGCCACCCAATCCCACGTTGCCCCTGCCGGTCGAGCTTGCTATATATAAAAGCGGCCACCAGGTGTCGCCAACCAGCCTGAAAGCCCTCCGGAGGGATCAGAATCGCTGGCCCGCTGGCAGGACGCCAGGCCTGGTCCGGGTCCACCTCGGGTCGCATTTCCACCTCGGGGCTTCCTGGCAGGCACGAGTGGAACCGTGAGATCCCTGGCAGCCAAAAGAAGCCTTGGAAAATTTGGGGGGAAACGCCCGGGGCCAGGGACAGCTGCCGGGCTGGGGACAGACTCCCCAGCGCCTCCCGGGCCAGATCCCCACCCAGAGTGGACTTCAAAATTCACCGAAGTGGGCCTGCCTCAGCCTCCCCAGGGGCATTTAGAAATTTCTGCGGACCGAAAACCCCTCCTGCGTCCTCTTCAGAACTATAACTGTTTATATCTAATCACTATTTATGTAGATTTAGTATTTATAAAGTATAATTTATACTTATGATTCTATAAATTTATATTATTTATATTCATATAGTTTTTAAATGTAAATAAATTATTTGTTTATAATACTTGCTTATAACAATTACTATTGCTATATAAACCTCAGGTTCCCCCATCCCCCTGCCCCTACCCTTCCCTCCTCACCTCCCCACAGGCCTCCCCCCACGCCCATCTCCCCTTCCCTTGCTCCCTTCCCCTCTCCCAAATTCTAGTTGCCCATCTGCTGGGTTGGGCTGCTGGTCGATCTGATCAACTTTCTGAGGCCACATCAAAACTACAGAAAAGGCTGATCGACCCAGCAACTCTAACAAAGATCATCCATCGGACATCTGGTCACTCCACTATCTCGGAGGCAGAGGCTGCAGGCTTTTCCCCGGTGGGGAGAGTGGGGCCCCAAAGTCCAACCACAATATCCTATTATGCAGGCCGCAGCTAAATCCACTGCGCCTTTCCCGTTTTTCTGGTACTGCCCAAGCCAGTCTCCACCTCCGAGACAAGACTCCGAAAAAGGTGTAAAGCTCAAATCGGATGATCATGACCCACGCGTGGCCACGGACGGTCCCATATTACCCTTTGCAGTCCTCCTGGAACAGCCGTGCCGGTCCTCACCTCCGGGGCGGGGCTGAGATAATGGGTGTAATGGAAGGCCTGAGGACAGGGCCCCAAGCTAGTCGGCGTCTGGGCGGGGTACCCCATCCCCCATTCACACTCTCGGAAGGCCCATCGATTCCCGCGTGTACTAGTTGACCCGCTCAGGCCACAGTACTCCGAGTTCAAGAGCGCGCCTCCAACGCTGACCTGCAGGTTTAATCTCCGACGAAAGGACGAAGAGTACACCCGGCAAAGCTGGGCTCATCCTGCCAGTCGCCTGAACTCTGCACCGCGCCCTGTGGTCAAATCCCCTTTCCTGCCGGCTTCTCCAGAGCGCCGGAGAGAAAACCTTAACAGTGCAGCCAGGTGGCGCCCGACAGCCGGTGCGAGCAGTCGCGGATCCGATTGGCATAGCTGGCGGTAGAGGCCTCTCCAAGTCCCGGGCCACCTGGTATCTCGTTTCTCAGCCGGGGGCGAGCGGAGGAGCTCTCAGTTGACACGGGCCTAGAATGACGCCACACCGCAGCCGAAGGGAACTTGAAAATTTTTCCTAACCACTGTTCCGCTCCGAGGGACTGCTACCGGCTAGGACAGACTGCCCACGCGGCTCCGGGACGGGCGATCTTCTCCGCGAACCGGGAACGTTTCCGGAGACCACCGGGGCCGGCGCCCAGCCTCATCTTCCCAGCGCAGCGGGGTCCCGGGCTCCCGGCGGATTCGAAAGTTTTGAGGCGGGAGATAACGTGAAGTTGAAACTGTGAAAGGGAGAACGTGGGTGAATCGCTTTTATCCTGTCTTTTCGGAGTGGGGAAGCCTTTCTAAACCACAAAATAAACCCAGAAGCCATCAAGGAAGTGATTGATCAGCTTGACAACATAAAGTTTGAACAAAATACACAAGTCCAAAGATAACAAATGACTGTGGGAATCGCTTCTGCAAATACGCGGGTGATAAGAATATTGATTTCTTTCACAGTAACCGAGATACGGAAGCAGCCAAACATCTACCAGTGGGTGAACAAATAAAGAAAACGCGGTGTATGTACACCATGCGGTACTATCCCGCCTTTGAATACAAGGAAATCCTGCCATTGGCGACCACATGGATGAACGTGGAGGCCATTGCACTAAGCAAAGTAAGCCAGGCACAGAAACGAATACCACTTGGTCTCTCCTGTATGTGTAATCTGAAAATAGCTGAACTCATAGAAACGGAGAGTAGAAAGGTGGCTACCTGAGGCCGGGGGAAGGGCAGGAGGGGGGAGACGTTGGTCAAAGGGTACAAGGATTCAGTTAGACAAGAGGAATACGTTTTAGTGATCCACATGACACGGTGACTGTAGTTAATGCATTTTATATGTCAAAATTCCTAAAATAGTAGATTTTAAATATTCTCACCACAAAAAATAGATGTGTTGGCGATGGATATCTTAATTAGCTTAAAGTAATTGTCCCACCAATGTATACATATATCAAAACATCACATTGTATCCCATAAATATATACAATTATGATTTGTCAATTAAAATAAACTTTTAAAAATCCTTTTAAAAGATTTCTGCATTATTTACTATGACGACAAAAAAAACTGGGGTGGGGGATAATAGCCATTCATTAAGAGGGGCCAGTTTAAATAAACTCCAGTACATCCACACCATACACTGTGTGAATCTGTTTTGTTTTGTTTTAGATGAGACAAATGTTGATGATGAAATGTTCAATGAAGAATTTAAAACAAGAATTAAGTTGCCCCTATTTCATCACATTAAATAGCTATAAAGACCATGTGGTATGGACAGAGGGAGATGATCTACAGAACAGAATAGAGACCCAAACAAATGTGCCCAGCTGGGTTTTGACAAGCATGCGAAAGCAACTCGTGGGAGGAAAGGTGGCCTTTCCATCAAATGGGAGTAGGGCAATTGCACATCACAGGCACAGCAAACTAGCAGGCAAACCAAAACCCTTGACCTAGACACTGTCAACTTTAAAATCCTAAGCCCCCACCAAATGAATGGACCCCCTCTTGGCCAACGGGACCTCAGGAAAATCTTAAAAATTTAGTTCTAGTTATAATGTGGTGGGAGGTCAGACACGCCTCATTATACACCCTGCCTTTTGGGGTTTAGACCAGCATTAATGCTAACATAGAGATCAGAAGACTGACAGAACAGACTCTGTGGCAATAAAATACCAAATTATAAATAGGACCTAAGGCCACGCCAGGCAAGGGTTAAGTCACTACGCCTAAAGAATAAAACTGTATTCTAAGGACCACAAGGCTTTTCTTTTTCTCTAGCAGCTAAACAACCACTGGCCTCCAGAAAGACAAGAATAAAACAATTTCCAGCTCCACCACCCACTGACTTACTGAACCCCTGCTCTACCAGACATAACTTCCGATAAGACCACCAACCATGGAGTGTCTCTGGCTGGTTTACAGAGGCTGCACACTTGTGTGCCTTCATGCCCTGAAAAGACCTGTTGAACATATAGGACCTAATTGTAACACATTTAAATGTTAAGTCTCCACCCCAAAGTGAACATGGGTCTCATGCTACACGCATGTCTGTTCAATATGCATGTGTCAGGACCACCTTCATGAATATTCATAACTCCTCCTATAACCCATTGAATATGTATGTTTAGCCAACCTGCTCAGCATAAAGCTCCTACCCCAACCCCTCCTCCTTCAAAGTGCCTGTTTCTGGTCCCTTGGCTGGGATGGCCATCTTGCAGGCTGTAATCCTTATGAAAAATAAAGTCTCCTCACCTTTCTAAATGGATAAATTGTGGGGGTTTTACCCTCACACCTCGTACAAACATTAACTCCAAATGGATCACACATTTCAGTGTAAAATGTAAAACTATAAAACTTCAGGGAAAAATAATTCTTAGAGAAAAATGGGATCTAGGCTAAAAAGGGAGATTTTGTATTTGATATCGAAAGTATGATTCATAAAGAGAGATGGATAAATTGGAAGTCATCAAAATTAAAAACCCAGGCTCTGTGAAAGGTCCTCTTTGTTTTTTTTTGTTTGTTTGTTTGTTTGTTTGTTTGGCTTTTCCTGAGATGGACGT